AATTGTCACATTTTAAAGTTCGAAAATCAAAGTGGCACTAGGCCCAAAATATGGGATACTAATCAGGAAATTTCCCTTCTTATTAAACCCACCTTACTGGCAGTGCCATAATATATTATGAACACGTATCTCCTTTTCCTAAGAACATGGTGCTATTATCTCAATAACATTTGCACCACAATATATTTGGTGGTCTGATTCTGATAATAAAGGTGTACACCTCCACAGATGGTCCCTCCTCACTCAGCCTAAAGAGTGTGCCAGGCTTGGCTTCCGTGACATGTACATGAAGAACAGAGCTCAAAATTATGAAGTTGGGCTGGAAATTTCTTAAGGAGCCTTATTAATTCCTCCATTTTGGCTAAGATTCTCCGGGCAATTTTGGAATATAAAATCTAAGCCTGGATACTCCTATTGAATGAATTTGCCTCCGAGCTTTGTTTCAAAAAAAAAAATGAAAAAAAAAAGTCTTAATATCCAATAAAAGTAAGAAAGTAAACACTTCAAAAGTAAAACCTACCACCTATACTCATCTTCTCGAGTGTTTTATGAAAGGGTGCATGGTTAATTTAGTCCTAACAAATCCTGAAGCTTTAGATGATGGAAATCTACACTTTGAATGTGTTGTCAAGGTGATTAAACTCTAGCCAAGGTATTCTATTAATAAAAGAGTATGATAATTGGTATTTGCAAGGATATTTTAGCAATATTAGATGATATTTTCTTCTTTACTATTAAATGACTCACCCGACGGAAAACCTATTGCCTTGGGCATTTAATGATTTTCTGTGTACTTTGACCAGTTATCTTTGAGCTTAGGTGTCCTTTAATAATGGCTGAAGTGGCTGAACGAAAAGACTCATTGCTTTATATTTCAGTGGATAATTAATTATGTGTATAGTTTCGTTTACGTTTTTCATTTAACATTTGTAATTTATTTACTTAATTTTGTTTGAAAAATCAATAAAGATAATAATATTATAATCATTTATGATAATTAGGTGCCAATAGGCATTACATCAGCATAACAGAAATTAAATTCATCCTTTGTTATTCTCAATGCATACAGAAGAACACGAGAGAAAAACTGCAGCATTTATTGAATAAATACTCACGGTTTCAAACACCCAGTAAATCATGCATAAAGTATTGTAGAGAGTAAACAAGCTGACTTAGCCTTCAACCATTAATGAGCTCAGGATCTTCTTAAAACTTGTTCATTAAGGTGGCTTCATAGATAAGCTCAGTTTATGAAGGGATATAATTTTGACTGTCCATGAAAAGGCCTTCCCCTTGATTAGGCTTGGTCACAGTTTGGACCATGATTTTTTTAATATTTTAGTTAATATTAATGATGTTTTATCCATCAAAAAAGTTACAAAATCCTTATAATTGGTGGCTGTTTGATAACAGTTGTAGTTCTTGAAGTTGCTCTCCCTCCTTAGCTGCAGTAGAGCCTCACACGGAATATTCTAGGCTATATTAGGGCCTGTTTGGTGCATCTTTTCGCGTAGTCTTTCAGCTGTTTACAAGATGCAAAAACTGATTTTTGGTCTATTTTCGTTTGGCACGTGAAAGATCTAACCACCAAAAGATGTAATGCCGAAAAGACACGAAGAGCCCATTTTAGGAAGCTCCAAATGAAGCTTCTAGCATCTTTTGCATTTTAATCTTATGCGGAAAGGCGCGCATCTATCAAACGTGCTTTGGGCTGCTTAAATCTTCATGCAAAAGCTCAATGCATCTTTTGCATGCCAAAGCTACTACAAGGTATTCCCAAAAAGACCCGCCAAATGGGCCCTTATTCTACTTAACTTCAGCTTCAGCCATTAAGAAGCTCACAGCCTCCTTCAAAACTTATTCATTAAAAGACAAAAACAATTAGTTTTCAGTTCAGTCATTAATTTTAAGATCAATTTGGTTCGCAACCGGAATCGAAATCAGAATCAGAATGGTCCATCCTATTGTCTGTTTGGTTCAAACAGAAATAGGAATGGGAATTGGTATCAGCAAGAATGAAATTTCATTCTCAATGGTGGAGGGGCAGGGAATGGCCATTCCCTCAAATGGGGGAATGCCATTCCGGCAGGAATGGGAATGGGATTCCGATTATGTCCAACCAAATAGTTGGGATTGGAATAGCTCAGTGCGATTCCGATCCAAACCCCTATTCCTACAAACCAAATGGGTGTCAGTTGTTATGAAACGTATGTTGTGTTTGGTTGCAATGTAAATAAATTTGCACTGGTGCAAAATTATGACAGTGCAAATGATTTGAGTGTAAATTCTAACCTATTTTTATTTGAAACTTTAGCTTATTTTATTTGATTACAGTACAAATGAGGTAAATTAATACATGAAGCAGGACATAGTAAAACCCAAAACTAAATTAAATGAGAATTTACATTGTTTTCATTTGCACTCCATGTATTTATACTAGTTCAAATAAAATTGCTTTGCAACCAAACACAGCAATACGGTTTCTTGGGCTAACTTGCTTCTGTTTTATAGATGGTAAACCAAATGTGTTTTTTTTTTCTTTTTTACTTTTTTGTTCTTTACCGATGGTCAGCTGATATCACTAGAAAAGTTTTCTGTGGCGAACCAAAGATCCCCTAAAAAACTAAAACTGAGCAAAAAGTCATTAACACACTAGAAAAAATGCATTTTACTTGAAAAGTATATAAAACAGTAAAACACCCTATGAAAAACTTCAGCTCTTTTTAAAAGGAGAGTTTGTGACCTGAATGAATCAAATAACATTGCATTTCTTTTATTTTTAGTAGGCCTATTTTTTTACATTCATTACCAAATACCAAATCTTATTCTGAGTTTTCCAAGCTTTCAGAATCAAAAGAGTTTGTTAAGGCAAAAGTCTCCTTTACCAATAAAATGGAAATCAAGTTGGAAAGTCCTAAAAGCCAAACTTACAAAGGCGTTCTTCTCTGCTTAAGAAGTCGGTTCTTTAGAGATTTGAACTTTCTCCACTACAAAAGTATCTCTAACAAATTAAAGTTGTTGCTTCATAAGGAAGAAAGTATGCAACCACACAGAGATTAGGCTAAGTAGAAGGTACTCTCTTCTGGATTTTTCTTTCTCTTTTTTAGCACAAATGGACTACACAATTGGGATAGCCCTTCCCAAAAACCTCGAAACCAAAGCCCACCAATTTACAACCAGCCATAGATCTTACCATTGGGAATATAGCATCTAGCCCCACATTGGGAACATCTCCCATATATATATATGTTAAATTTATGGGAAGATGTTCCCAATCTACAATTGGATTCCTATGTGTACAGAGCAGAGAATCCCATCGCAAATATTGATTACTCTATTCAGATGTAAAATAACTTTAAAAAATAATTTTGTTGTTGTTGTTGTTACATTTTTATTTAAACCAATAGCATTCAAACCGAATGGTTAGACCATTCAACCTGTGACCCAGTGACTAAAACGGTTTTGTTTTATCAAATATAACAACATTAAACAATTTTGGTAATAAAAGATGAAACTGGGCTTGTATCCATCAAATATGGATCTGAACAGTAGGGAGCCCAAGTATATTTCTTGTAGCTTACCTAAAAGAAAGATCAAATTATTGATAGGGACGTTTAGGTTGTTTTATTGTCTAAATGTCTAGTGGATCCCCAACATGGAATCAAATGGATGTCTTGGCTTCAACACTATTCCTCACTACGAATCCACATATCGGTTCTTTTGACCCATATAGTTGAATTGATTTTGCCCATGGCCTGACAATGGACCCAATGCTTTGTTAGGCCAATAGAACCGCAAACGGTATCCAATTGTTTGAATTTGAATTCGATCCGTTTATAATTGGCCCGATCCCGTTGACAGGACTATCTTGACCCTGTTGGCAAGAAATGGTTTCAATGTGACCCGAACAGAACAACCAGCACCTTTCTAGCGCACCCACATCCCATCCCACGTCCGTGAAATACAAGAACAAACTAGTAATTTTTCCTAATGAAAAACTTCATAAGAAATTCTACACTGTATTCCTTTCACAGAAGAAAGCCAATTTTGAGTTTTGACCCATTAATCTTCCCCAATTCTCCCAAGTACTTATTCCTAAGTGGGCCAACCTTCTTGACTCAAACCTGAAGAAGGTTCCAATGAACGAGCATGTTACTTTGGAATTTCCTCTTTTTTTTTTATTTTTTACTGGGAAATGAGTTGGATTTTCTTCTTTGATATGTATTAATAGATTAGTAGGCATCAGATTTAAACCCGGTAAAAATTGACCCAACCCATAGACCCGATCTGACCCAACCTGAAAAAAGCTGGTTAGGACTCCTTATCTAGTGACCCAAACTAGAAGACCGGTTGATGCAACCCAACTCGAAAACTTAGGTTGCATCATGGGTTACCTATTTTTAAATCAACATTTTCAAACTGGTGTTAACTGGACAGTTGAACCATTTAAACCATTTGAACCACATGATTAAATGTATATTTTGATAAATAAAATATCGATTTAATCAAAGATCAACTGATTGAACCATTGAACCATTGACCCATCTGACTTGTGGATAAACCCAAACCTGAATATTTAAAATTAAGATCTGTCTTTGGTGGCTTGAGAAGTGAGAACACCTTGTCCCGACCCGAACCCGATCCGATTGAAAAGGTCTTCTAAAAAATTGGTAAATGGGCCAGTGCATCTTTGACGGGTTAGTCCAAAGTTTCCCAACGAGGGACCCACACAATTAAGACCCCATCTTCTCCTACTGATGAAGATTCGCTAACACATTCCCATCTCAGAGGAAAGAAGGAATAGTTATAAGGTTGCATCTGCCCATGGCTCACCTTAATTTATGTATTAAGGATCCCCTTAAAACAATTAAAAAGTTCAATCAGAAATCCTTAATCAACAAGTAAGGGCCCACCATCTATAGAGAGAAAGAATCCAAAAGAACAGATCTCTACATCAATTTATTCAATTCTTTTGCCTCCCCAGTCCTTCTCCATTGAATAAAATCCCGACTTCGAATGCGGGACCAGTAAGACAGCAAGTAGCTCTCTTGGTCTCGCGCGTAAACGAAACCATCCGATTGAAATCATCCTCTCTCTCTCTCTCTCTCTCGACTGTTGACTCAAACACGTCTGGGTCTTTCGCTGGTTTTAACGACTGTAATAGATAAATAGATCTTATTACAGTCTTTGACTTGTTTCTTGTTGCCTTGTACGAAGGAGTGGAGCGATTTTGTTGCTACCCATCTTGAGAAAGGAGGTTCGGAGCAAAGATGGAGACGAAAGGAAGTACGATGTCGTTCTTGGTCGTATCGGTGCTGGTTTTGTCTGCGATGTTTCAAGATTGTTCTGCAGCATTCAATTTGCTCAACCGGAAGAAGCCATCAGCGTCAGCGGCAGCGTCATCGAGCGCCAAGCGTGACGCCAAGAGTGCTCCCTCCTCCGTTGTGTTTCCGGTTCGTGGAAATGTGTATCCTGAAGGGTACGTTTTGAAAAGATTGATTGGTGGATTATAGATTTGTAGATAGTTATTTGGTTTTTAATATCTAGGAAAATCTTGAATTGCAGTTCACCAGTTTCCATTTGTCCTTGTTCCATTGGTTCTCCCCCAAAATTCTTGTATTTGTTTTGCTGGTTGATTCTTGAATTGATTTGGGTGTCTGCAATTCGGAAACTTGTTTTGATTTTTTGTTTTAATTTCTTTCAAATTTTAGTACCCGTTTCAGAATCCGGTTTCTGACTCATTTTCTTTTATAAATCCCACTACCCATTTTAGCTGAATTTGATTTTGTTTTCTATGTTTGATTTTCAAATTTCAGAACCCATTTTATCTTTTGAAACTCGAGGACCTTTCTTTTCCATTTCTTCCAAAATTCCATCCCTTAAATTTGTTTGCATCTCTAACTTTCAAGATTTTCGTTTCCATTCAATTTTATTCCTTCGTAGTTTATTCAAAATTTTTGTCTAACTTTTAAGAAATTTTCCTTGCACGTTCAAATTAACAGCTTATTTTGAAATTTGATCATCTTCCCTTCCAGTTGCTTTGAAGAGGATTCGACAACCTATTTCTTGTCTGTCCTGTGTTGTTTGACGACCCCTTACTTGAAACTATTACTCGATCATATATTTATCTTGCCATTTAATTTCTGAAAGCTCCCTGCATTGCAGTTTCACCTGCTGTATGGCCTCTATACAATAAAATCTTGTTCAAGTATTTTTCTCTTTTCTTCCAGTTCCAGTTTATCTTGATACAGAACACTGAGATTTTTCAGTTTTTGTATTTCCTACTTCCACAACTAGTGCCCTCTTCTGTCTTGCAGGTTGTACTATGTTACCCTTTACATTGGACAGCAACCCAAGCCTTACTACCTTGATATTGACACTGGCAGCGATCTCACATGGCTCCAATGCGATGCTCCCTGTGTTAGCTGCTCTCAGGTAAATCCTTAGAGATTAAACACAGACATATATACAAATTGCTACTCTTTCTAATATTTCTTTTGGCAGGTACCCCATCCTCTGTACCGACCCAAAAACAATTTAGTTTATTGTCAGGATCCCATCTGCGCCTCCGTCAATCACCCTGGAAACCACAAATGTGAGAGACCAAAAGATCAATGTGACTATGACATTGAGTATGCTGATCACGGTTCCTCACTTGGCGTCCTCGTCAAGGATGAATTCCCGCTGCGTGTTACCAATGGATCTCTTCTTAAACCCCATTTGGTTTTTGGGTGCAATACTTCATATACTCCTTTGATCTGAGTTATTATTCATTGTCTTTCTTTTCTTTCAAATTTTCATGATATTAAGTATTGTTAGCTTCTTGTTTATAGATGTGGGTATGATCAGGAGTTCTCTACTGTATCATCTTCTCCTACGGATGGAGTGCTTGGACTTGGTAACAGCAAATCTAGCATTATATCTCAGCTCAGTGATCAAGGTTTAACAAGAAATGTGGTTGGCCACTGTTTTGATGGGCAAGGTGGAGGGTTTTTATTCTTTGGTGATGATCTTGTCCCACCTTCTGGAGTAGTTTGGACACCAATGTCACGCAATCCCTTGAAGTAAGCAATCCATAACCCCCCCCCCCCAACATATAAACAGTTTTGGGTATCGAGTCCAATTCCATGTTTCTTATAATGGAATTCTCTTCTTACTTAGCAAATACTACTCGCCGGGACCTGCCCAACTGATTTTTGGAGGGCAGCATACTGGTGTCAAGGGTCTGATGACAGTTTTTGACAGTGGGAGCTCCTACACTTACTTCAATTCCAAGTTTTATCAAACTTTCATTTCTTTAGTGAGTTGAAAATCAATGGGACAGGAATGCCCTATTCTTTTATTATTTGCTTATTAATTGATATTATACAAAAATCAATTGATGCCATTATGTTGCCAGGTGAGGAAGGATTTAACTGGAAAACCATTAAAAGAAGCACGGGATGACCAAACACTCCCAATATGTTGGAAAGGCACAAAACCGTTTAAATCTATACGTGATGTGAAGGAACACTTCAAGCCATTGACACTAAGCTTTTCAAATGGCAAGAATGCTCGACTGGAAATACTCCCCGAGTCTTATTTGATTATCAGTGTAAGCACTTCGTAAACTTATCATCATCATCATCATCTTAGAGAGGTGGAGAGAGAAGCACCTGAAAATTTAACCACAAAATCTCACTTGACGTTTCTTTCTGTTTCAGTCTCATGGCAATGCCTGCTTAGGAATTTTGAATGGTACTGAAATAGGATTGCAGGATATCAATATCATTGGTGGTAATTCTCCAAGAACCAAAATGCAATAGTTTTGTTTTCTTGTTCTATAAATGGATTATCATTCTTTCTTTTGATGCGCTCTTTACAGATACTTTGCTGCGTGACAAAATAGTGATTTATGACAATGAGAAAAGGCAGATTGGATGGATAGCTACATATTGCAATAGACTCCCCAAGTCTGGAACGGACTCTTTTTCATTTTCTTCCTTTTATATGACTGTACATAAAGGGTATCTCACTGGACAACTCTTTTCTCTGTTTTTTCAACAGTGAAGATCGTGGTGGCAAAGCCTCTCATCCTTATGGTATCGACTTCAGTATCTTATCAGATCAGTATCCTGCAGTTTATTCTTTTGGAGATGATGCTGTATAGCAGAACAGGATTTACTGAAAGAAAAAACAATATAATTTTTTGTCTTTTGTTTTTCATTTATGGGGAGGCAAGGGAAATGACAATTGATGTATACCACCTTAACAATTAAAAGGAAAAATGATATAGGAGTTTGCTACAATAAAAATACATGTTTCAGTTCTTTTGAGTAGTTGTTACAAGGGGAAACGTCTACATCCTCCTCCCCACAAAAGAATAAGAAATTTAATTGATTGGAAATGGATCAAAAATGGTTGTACAAAACCCTGCACAAAGATCATCATATTCTTTTCTTTTTAGCAAGATCATCATACAATGGACTGGTGAAAGAGGATTGTATCTGAATCCATGTCTATGCTATAATATATAAAGCAAGGTTGTCAATGTCACCCTTTCTCTCCTTTCTCCCTCCTTCCTTAGCTTTCTCTCCCTCCTCTATTCACTCTTCCCAGCTATCCCATTAAACAAGTTAGCAGGGATATTTTCTCTTTTTCTTTGGAAAGTCAATGCCAATAGTTACCTAAGACTCGATTTGTGGCAAATTAGGAAATTGAGAATCTGTTTCCTATGGACTCCCTATCTTCTTAATCCACAATTCCTTATTTTCAGAAAAATAATTGTTATGGACTCTTTCTCTCTCTCTCTTCCTAAACGGAATCCTCTCTCAAAAATCATTGTTTTTTAATGAGACCGATACGTATCGTTCCGACAAGAGCTTGATACATGAAACATGTAGAAATCATTTGTTCCGTTTCTTTTTGTATGTACCGCACCAATATAGGCCTGAAACTATAGATATACTTAGATCTTTTTCAAGTGACCCTCATTCATTAATCTCTTTAATCACGTCAATATTTAATTCTAACTTTTCTTTCACTAATTCTATATTTAATCTCTTATTAATTCCACTAATTAATGATACTCTCTCATTAATTCCACTAATTAGTGATCCTGTCTCATTAATATCGTTTTGTTAGTATAAAAACTACAAAATTTAAACAATGGCAAATTTTGAATCTTAGTCACTAGGTCTTAACTATAAGTCACCACTAAGCCACGCCCATTTGTTTGTTATGGTCATATGCATTATTATTTTTAAGTAACTTTTCTCTTTTCTTAATGGATATTTATTAATAAATTCTAGAATTAATTATTAAAATTTATATACTAATAAATATTAATATAAATTGATGTAAACACATAACATTTATATTAGTTATTTGAAAATTGATGTATACACATTCATATTTTAGTTTTTTTTTGTTTTCTTACATTTTATTTATTCCGTCATTTTTCAACAGTTATTAATTGTAATTATTTACAATTAAATGATTTTAAATATGGATTTTTACATTTAAATAACTTATTTACAATCATTTAAAACTTATAATTATTGTTACTAATATATTTTTAGGATATATTTAAATTTCCTAATATATTTATACATATCTTAACTTTTCGTCCATATTTATGCGCATCCAAAGTGTATCCCGATACGTCTTTTAAAATTGTCTTTCCAATACACCTTGCATTTTTGATAGTTTAAACCTTGGACCGAATCATCTCTTGTTCATAAAGAAGATTCTTTTAAAATCGTTGTGGAAATGGCATATTGTCAAGTTCATTTCCTTTGAATGGAGAGAGAAGAGGAGGACAAAGTAGCTCAGCCTCTATTATTGATGTAGGTGTTGCCTAGGCAGTCTAACCCAAGAGGGGTGAATTGGGTACTAAAAAGATTTCCCCAACTAATGTTGACCAAAACCGATAAATGCAAATTTGATGGAGTGAAAGGTTGTGTACATGTGTGCTAATCAATGCCAATGCAAATAACAAAACAATCAAATAAGTAAAGATGAACAAATAAAGCAAGTGATTGTAGAAAGTAAAGCATACAAGGGTTTTTATGAAGGTTTAGTTAAACCCTGGCTTATGTTCTCTCAAGCATTGTCCTAAAAATTCCACTAAAACCATATAAACTTTCAAGTGCTAGTGAAATCTTACAATTAGTAGGACTTCCAGGTGTCTATAAGTCATGACTCAATTGAACTTCTAGGTGTCAACTAAACTTGAATAGTTGGCTTATGCGTGCCAACTAAACCTCCAATGGTGTTCAATCTTGAACACACAAATACAACAGATATAGCAATGTAATGCATAAATATAAAGCAAATGCCTCTATAATAGGTTGATAAGAGAAAATACAAAGCAAGCTAGATCAGATGCAAGAGTATACATAGAACTATAGGCTCAAACACTTGAAGAGATTAAAAAAAAAATCTCAATGAGAAACAATTAAAGCCAAAGTCTACTTAGTTGTTCTCACTATAGAATTGGTTAAGCTCAAAAATATTTTATTCACCAAGAACTCTTACTCGCAAATGCTTTCTTTCAATTATCATATTTTTTGTTGATTAAGTTCTTGAGTTTTTCATTCCAAAACAACCGATTTGTAGTGGTAGATAGCATATAATCATTATAGATCCGTTAGGAATGGATTAATCCATACTGGGAAATGTTCTTTCCAACATGATAAAAGGCATACCATAAGAGATAATAGCTATTAATTATGCCTTTAAATGGTCAAATTTTTCTATGAGTAGTCAACTAAAACAAGTTAATAGTCAACTACCACTCATAGGGAAGTATCGTTTTTCTTTAGTAATTGACTACTTCTCCCTGATAGTTGACTACAAACTTATGTCTAGTCTTGACTCGATCCATGATTTTTTTGTAGTCAACTAATGAGTAGTGTCTAAGCAACATTGACCTTAGTTTTCATAGGTAATCAACTATTCATTATTCACAATTTTAGAAACTTAGAGATATTGGCTTCAATGATCCAAAAATCATTTTCTTAGGCTTCTAAACTTAGATTAAGTCATTTTTCAAGCCCAATAACACCAAAGAACCAGATCTACTACTGGCCATTGGTCTTTATGGTTAGGTCAACCAAGTTTGGTCAAGTTTTAAGCCCATAGAGTGCATCTCATGCAAGTGATTTACATTGAGTCTTAAAAGCATGACACACAATGTAGAATACTTGAACTTGATTCTCTTTTCCTTTCAGCTCTTGGTAGCAAACTTCTATGGAGTCACAAGTTGATTAACAACTACCCAAAGCATTTCATTTTAAGCTTGGTTCTTCATAGTAAATTTGTCAACCACTTCAGCTCAATTGGATTAATTTGACACAGTTGCACGCTTAGCATCATTTATTAATACTTTCAATGAATTTGTTATCATCAAAATGCATAGGGTTAATAGTAGGTACAACTATGTTTTCCCTATTATGTGATGCATAGGGACTAGAGAATGCGAATGGGATTGTCAAAGAAGTTGGGAGAGGTGGAGGGAATGGAGGGGTCAAGAAAGTAAGAACAGGGGAGGATAGGCATAGGCTTAGGGTTAGTTGGTTGGTGCTCAAAAACAGTAAATTAAAGGAAGAGGTTATGTCATATGTTTTCTGTTTGTAGCAAATCCAATTAGTTGTAGGAACTAAGGAATATTTATTTTTTCTTTTTCCCCCTTAAGCATTAGGTGCTTCCATTAGTTTGGTAAAATAAGTGGAAAACATTTATGGTGGACTTGATAAAACCGAACTGAGTTAAACCGAATAACCAATAGATTGCACCACATTACACTAAATCATGAGCAATGTTTGCATCTTGAAATTTCTTTCATTTCCCATGTTGTTTAACATCTTCCATGGTGATCAAATTGACACTAGATTTATTTATTAATTTCCTGCTACTCACTTCTTGATTTATTATAATTTTTAGGAACTTGGATAATGGATTGGTCATAGCTATTAATCTTGGCCATAATGGTATATGTTTGCTATTTGTGGTCTGAGTTAAAAAATCAAGTAAATATAGTTACTAATATATGATTATATGTATTATAATAGCAATGTTTAAACTGAAACACCAATATAAATTAAAATTATATGTATTATTTTAATCTAAAAGCTAAAAGATAATATAAGATTATATGTATTATAATTTGAAAATAAGTAAACAATTATATCAATAAATTAATTTATAGATGAGTTAAAACAAGGGAAAATTCCAAATTAGTACCTTGTACTTTGGTCCCCAAACTTTAAAATGTGACAATTCAGTACTTGAACTTTCAAAATGTGTCAATCCAGTACTTGTCATTAACCAATCCATTAACCAACCATTAAGTGACATTTTAAAAGACACAAATGCCCTTTCAGTGTCATTTAATTTTCTTTATCAACCATATAGATGCTGATAAAAAATGAACAGTTTCAAATCCTTGCCTCTTTTATTCAAAAAAGTTGGGGGTTATGTCTTAGTGGGCATTTTGGTGACCCCAACTTTCTTGAACAGAAGAGGCAAGGATTTGGGACAATTCATTTTTTGTCAACGTTTGGATGGTTGATAAAGATAATTAGATGACACTTGAAGGGTATTTTTGTCTTTTCAAATGACATTTAATGGCTGGTTAATGAGCTGGTTAATGGCAGGTGCTAGATTGGCATGTTTTGAAGTTCGGGTACTAAATTGTCACATTTTAAAGTTTGGAGACCAAAGTGGCACTAGACCCAAAGCACAAGGTCTAATCTGGAATTTTCCCTTACAACAACTAAATTTAAGTTCAATTGAGTTATGATATTAATATAAATAAGTTTAAAGTATTTGTTCTCTCCAAATTTAAATACTATTAATTCAATATTGAATATTTTAAATTATTGATTATAATAATTAACTTAAAAATATAATGATTAAGAAAATACTGAGTAGTATAAAGTATTGAATATATTAATTAATTTAAAACATATGAAAGTACAATGTATAAATACTTCACAATATTGAATATACTAATTAAATATTTTACTCATTAGATTAGAAAATTTATTTTGATAAAAACATATAATATCTTGAAAAGCACGAAACAACTAAGTAATGGTGGCTCAGTTAGATTCTTTGGTTGTTTGTAGAAAAAAACTAAGATCAAGTCCTATAGGCATAAGGGTTAGGGGGTTATGGCTTAAAGAACATGTCATGGTTATCCTTCAACATCAATATATTCTGACTTGCATTAAATTATATTTTCTTCCATTATTTTTTAGGGAAATGATGTAATGATTTATATTTCCTTTTATCCCTTTTGTCACCATATTAGATATCGGATTTTCTTTTGCATGGACGATGAACTCATTTTTAAATAGTGATTCTTTGAAGAAAAATTTTAACCAAACATAACCATATTTGCCGAAATTTGAAGAATAAAGAAACTGGTAGCAAGACTAAATAACAAATGCTATCCCCAATACCCGAAATAAATTATTTTTTGTGTTGTGGGCTTTCCTAATATTTTGATACAAGTCCATTTCTTATACTACAAAGAATGAGGCTGAAAGTAAAGAATGAGTCACTGCCTATGTGTAGGTGTGTGAGATGGATGTACCAAACTTTACCAAACAGTTAGAAACTGAATTACAGGCCCTAGGATGATAGTAAGAGACTGAACAATGATCAATGGAAGAAAGTACAATCCTGCACTCGGCTACTACATGACGTAGCCTCCATTGCAGGTTTCAGCAGCAATCCAATCCAATAGCACATTAACTAAAATTTGAGAATCCCTCTCTAAAATGACGACACTAAATAAATCCAATTCCGTGGAAAAATGAGCATCGACAAGGAAAGCATGTGTCTCGGCTTCAAGAGGAGAGGAGAGGAGATGAAACTGCAATACAAGAGGCTCCACTAATATTTACTTTTTAGTAGGCTCCATTAGGCCCCTTGTATAACACGACTATGATCAAAGGTGGCATGCTCAAACAGGCATCTATTAAGTTCCACATCAGCCATCTGTTCTCGATCCCGACTCCTGTGGGCCCACTCCCACTCGGGCTGTGACTGATGCACCCCTATCTGCAGAACTCCACCTCTCGAGCTACCCCCTGTCAGTTATCACGTCTTCGTAATTACATTCTGTCTTCTCCGTCACCGGCTGCCGTCTTGGCTTTCCCAACGACACAAAAACCGTGAAAATACCTTCCTGTTGAAATAAGTTGCAGCTTCCCGGTTTTGCACCCTCAGCCTCTTGAAACAAACTCTTTCTGCAAAACCCACTCTGATTGGCATGCTCGTTGGGATCGTTCACATGTCTGAGTGAGGCTTCTCCTGCCATCGTAATTCCAAGTTTGAATGAGCCCTACATCTATCTGCTCCTAAGCAAATCCCTTGCTCACCTAACATCTTCCCTTCCACCTACGGGCTTTCTTGTCAGGTGAAGCTCTAAGTGAAGCTCCATAACCTGCCGGGACTCTTTGGTTACTTGAGTCTTGTTCAGCCAATCTATTCGTCAAACAAGGATCAAAGTATCGGTATCAGGTATCGAATCGGATAGTTTAGATACGGATATGGATACACTTTGAAAATACATGAATACAGACGAAAGATATAAAACCGCATAGATGCACTACGAAAATGATACAAATTTTGTACATAAAGAAATATATTACTAATATAACAAGATACATAAACATCTTACAATTCTATTGATAATCCAACAATCAAGAGTCCAAGACTCATATTATATAGATTTTACAAAGTAAAACATGTACAAAACCATTATTATGTTAAATTCTATAAAGTTCAAGACACAAAACATATGCAATTATTATATTTTAATTATTATAACAATTATTTTATACTTTTACTTTTCAACATTAACAAAAAAGTCAATTAAATATTAAATTTTGAAATGTTTGATAATATCAAAATTACTATCATATCAAATTTATAATTTTTCTAAGATACATGTATTATTATCATATTTTTACTTTTAAACTTAACTAAAAGTATATCAAAATTATTAAAATTTTTAAGATACATATCATATGAAATTCATAATTTTTAATTATTAAAGTAACGATTCCTTTATTAACATTTTTATTTCCTATAGTTTCTTTCTGAAATAACAAATCATTTTTTATATAAATTTAAATTAATGGATTTGATGAACTCAATTTAATATTATATTCTTGAATAGTTTGTAATTTTTTTATTTTTGTAAAGAATAAATATATTATTTATAGTCTAAATTAAAATATCAATGAATAATTTATAAATAAATATATAGAATTTAAAGATACATATAATGTACAAATTTATGAAATTTAAGTACTAAAATAATTATCTATTATTAATATTTTTATTTGCATAAATTTAGTGAAAGTAAAAAACAATTTTTGATATAAATGTAAATTTGATAGATTGTTTACTTCATTAATGTTTATAAAGTAGTAATTTTTAATATTATTTATTTATGTTAAGTTAGAATTATTGAACAAACATATAGTTTATAGTATTTTGTATTTGTTTGGGTTCATGTTAATGATAGAATTAATAAAATGTATTTTATTTCAATTAATATCACAAATTGAATGTTGGTCCGTATCAGCATGTATCAACAATACGGTGCGATACACACAGATATGGTATCGATATGCATAATTGGACGTGTATCGTACTATTGTATCCCTTTTTACTGATATCGATACGATATGCCCGTACCGATACGATACACCTGTACCGATACAATATGCCCGTATCGAACATATTGTGTCGATATTTTAATCCTTGACGCCAGCTCCTCCATTACCTGCATGCCAGAAATATTCATGCAGATTTGCTCCTCATGGCTTATAATCCCGCACCATACCAGAATCTTGGTAATCTCTCGTACCGGAAGCCCAGGGGTCAAGTCGGACTTAGTTAGAGAATTAACCCAGGGGTCAGTCGGGTTTCTCTAAGCGGACTGTCTGGTTGGGTTAATTCTGAAACGTGTAAACCGGACAGATCGACCGGACGAACCATCTTTTGTAGTCCGTAGACCGTCACCGTAGTTCATACCGTGTGGCGTATGCCGCTACCGTGCTACGGTACGGGCTTTGCCTTCTTCCCCGCCTAAAAAGCATTTTGGCGCCACAAAACAGTGTTAACGCGCTCTCAGGCGGAGAGAGGAACTGCGGAGATGGCAGAGACCGCCTCGCCGATGGAAATCGACGGTGCCGATAACCGGGCGAAGTCCAACAAGGGAAAAAACGTCATCGCCGTCCCGACGGACGGCAAGGCGACGCCTTGGGTCGAGAAGTACCGGCCGCAATCCCTAGCCGATGTGGCAGCTCACAGAGACATCGTCGACACGATTGATAGGCTTACAAACGAGAACAAACTGCCACATCTCCTCCTCTACGGGCCTCCCGGAACCGGCAAGACTTCGACCATTCTTGCTGTCGCTCGCAAGCTCTATGGAACTCAGTTCCATAACATGATCTTAGAGTTGAACGCGTCCGATGATAGGGGCATTGATGTCGTGCGGCAGCAGATTCAAGACTTCGCAAGCACCCAAAGTTTCTCCTTTGGGTAAATTTCTGTAGCCTCCATTTCTGTATCTAGTTGATGCTTAAATAAAATCTACTTGTATCGTAGTTGTTTTGCATTTTTAGTTTGTTTTAATTAAACAAGACAAGAATTATGGTACTCGCATTGATGTGTGTGATGTTGTTACAGAGCTTGTAGTTTGTTGTTGCATTTGCCCTAATTGACAAGCTTCACTCGCTTGTAGTTATTTATACAACACTTGAGTATTGGCAGTAATTGGGTGTTTCTTCTTCTCTCTGTCACACTCTCAACTTTAACAATGTTTGACCCCCATTTGTGCGTTTAGGAGACCTAGATATCAAAATATCATTAGCATCAACTTAAAGCACGAACTAGTTTTTGCTTTGGTAATGGTTCGTTCAGTGGTTAGTGGTCAATAGTTAGAATAGAGCAGAATAGAAAGCAACTGAGTCTCATGAAAGATGTTCTTTCCTTTAAGTAATTTATTTGTCTACAATTCTTTAGAATCTCTAAAGCCACTGTACACATATGAGGCTCTTTGATGGGCTTTTAGGTTTTGAACTCCTCCTAGAGTCTTTGTGGATCCTTTTGGTTCGGACTTCAAGTAATGGCTTGCCTTCACCCCCCGTACTCACAAGAATGTCTAATCTGGGTAGTGTTCCCACCTTAATCTGAACTTTCATGCTATGGAGCAGAAGTGCATATAAATTGTGGTTTGAAATTGGGCTCATTTATTATATGCAACAGAGCTAATTGTCAACCATACAATGACTATATTTTAGAGATGTCATATGTACTTTAGCCTCTCTTTGGCTGTTCCCATGTAGGACAGACACCTTGTCTACTATATAGAACTCTAGATCCTAACTTGTTTATTGCCTACACATCATCCTCATCCAAGGCTCTCTCAACCCAATGATAGTCACAGCTATCTAGGGTCTTGGGAGGGGTAGGCTGGGTATGGGCCTAATGTTTGGCATATTTTTGGGTACTAATTGCTATTATTAGTTTCCATTTAAGAAAACATCTGCACATAAATGATGTAAAAATAATTAACAAAACAATACTTTAAAGTTTCTCAAGCAGTCCAAACTCCGAACAGATATTCAATCCATCACTGAATGCCTCTCCCTACCCTGATTCTTGAATGTTTTCACTCTCCCTTGATTTAGATTCAGATACTCATAGGTTAAGCTGATCTTAGTTTGACAAAGATGAAGCATTGTCTAGTTTGACAAAGATGAAAGCTAGTTATCTTTGTTCTTTGTAAGATATTATTTGATGCATCCATTGACTTAACCATTCTTTGTTGTTCTTAGTGCAAAATCATCTGTGAAATTGGTCCTATTGGATGAGGCTGATGCCATGACAAAAGACGCACAATTTGCCTTGCGCAGAGGTTTGCTTTTTCATCTACTTATTTTTACTAACTCTTACTGGAAGCCTTTTATTTATGCTAAACATAATTGTTTCTATGCTCTGTGATATGCAGTGATTGAGAAATACACAAAGAATACCAGATTTACACTTATCTGTAATCATGTCAACAAAATTATTCCGGCATTGCAGTCAAGATGTACTCGATTTCGCTTCGCCCCTCTTGATGCTTCTCATGTCATGGATCGTCTTAAATATGTGATAGAGGCTGAAGGGTAGGATACTTTAACTTGTTATGGTTTATTGGAACTCTAATAACAATGTGAAGATGATAAAATATCTTTTGGAAATTTGTGGATTGTCTTTTAAATGTGTTTATATACACTCTTAAAAATTCTGCTTTATAAATTAATATGTTTTTATAGCATTAGGTATACAGAAATGTGAATTTTATGAGAATTTGAAAGATTGTAGGTAATCCAAAGAGCTCAAGAAATAATCACATGTTTATTATCTCTTATTGGAAAGAATTACAACACCATATTAGTATACTACTAAACCTATCTTTTCAAGAATTTTTTTCAGAAAAGGACAGAAACATTGAGAACTTAATAGAGTTGATCCATGTAAGGGTGGCACAATGGCTGAAATCATTGGACTTATTCACCGATTTTACCTTGGATGACCTATTAGGAAATTGGAAAGAGACAGCAAGTTCTGCCCAGATTAAGAGGGTCCCAAGTCTTTCTTGGATATCACCCCTCTCTGGCTTCATAAAACTGAATTTCGATGGAAGTATCAGTATCATAGGGAATCCAGGGTTGTTAGGTATTGGGGGAGTTTTCAGGAATGACGAAGGGAATGTTTTAGCCATTTACTCAGGCCCAATTGGAGAGGGTACTCTCTCAGGGTTGAGATATTTGCAGCCTTGGAAGGAATCCAAAGAGCAAGAGAATTGACCATTAGGAGGCTGGTAATTGAAGGTGATTCAGAGGTGGTGGTAAGATGGTTATAAGAAGACAAAACTGGAATGTGAAACTGTAGCAATGAAAGGAAAAAATTCAAATAGCTGGCTAAGGCATTGAGATAAAATGCAGCTGGGTGAAGAGAACTGCTAACTCATTTGCTGATGGACTAACTAAGCAAAGGGTGAACAGGGATTCTTTGTTTTGGGCTCATTTCTAATCTTGTTTTTTTTTTTTTTGTTTTGTTTGCAGGGGAGTTAAGACAGTTTACCTCCCTCTGCTTCTATGTATTTTCCCTAATTTTTAATGAAGTTACATGTTATTGATAAAAAAAAGAGAACCTATCTTTTCTTCTTTTTTATTGATAGATAGTAGAAGTTTGAATTAAATATTAACAGAAATTTACATAGATTACAAGTGCCCTTTGGAGAGGTCAGGTTATCCTATCCCTACCAAAAAACCATTTCCATGATGAGTAAGGAACAACACAGTCTAAGAAACTCTAATGTAGTGCATGTGACGAAAAATCTTCTCTAGGTTGAAGCTCGGTCTGAAAGGAGCAGGACCCACAAAAGACTACAAATGGGTATACAAGAGAAGAAGAGAGACAATTTGTCTTCTGGAGCTGAGTCTAAAGGAACAATGATTGAGGAGCAACCACTGGATTCTCTTTTGGGGAAGGATGTTCAAGCCATTAAGGAGGGCGGTGAGGGTTCTGTTTTTGGTGCGAGTACCAAGGTGCAAAGTGATGAGTTTAAGGGTAATAATTTGGGCGGTGTGACTCTTCAAAAGTGGGTAGATAGAGAGGTGACGATTGGAAAAAGTTTGGGTCTCTGTTTTTTGGGTGGTGAAGAGTTTGCTAGGAGGGCTTTCGAGGGATTTGAAAGGATAAAAAGGGAAGAGAAGTTAAAGAAAAAAAGCTCTGTTGAAAGGAGGCGAAGCTTGGGACGAGGAAGTTTCAGATTAGGACTTCAGGAGGATGAGTTTGTGGATGAAGATTGAGCATTTGTACCAGATGTTTCAAGGTTTTTAGATTGAATCTAGTTTAGCATGATTTGTTGGCATGTAAGTTGTGTGTTTGTTCTTTAGGTGTTGTTTAAGGGGTTTTGTAGTTTGTTTGTTGGGTCATTTAGTTATTCTCTCCTTTCGGATGATATCTTATCATCTTCCTGCTGTAATTCTTTTTCCTTTTAATAAAATTTTCCTTTTATTCTTCAGAAAAAAGGAAGGAAAAAGAATGAGGAAAAGGAAAAAAATATTCTATAATGGCACAAAATCTTAGCAACCTTGCACCTGTAAATTTTCATTTTACAGGTGTTAGAGATTAGAAAGGTTAAAAAGAAATGCTAATTTACAAGGGAAAAAACAACTAAATTGCTGAGAACCTGTATTGTGTTATAAGAGGGGAAATGATCTGAAATATGGAATAGGTGATCCTGAGCTTCTTAACATTGATAAATTGGGAAAAAGACGATACTTTGATTTCCTATTTAGAAGCAGTCTGACGTTGTTGCTGAGCTTACTGTTAAATGCATTTATGTTTAATAAATATATTTCAGTTTTGTATTATATAATGGTTTTCTACAATCTAGCAACATCATGGACTATGAATAACAGAGGACGATGAACACATTTGTGCTTGTCCAAGAAATGTGCATGTGCTCTGCTACAAGCCTACAACATGCTATTACCATTTTCTTATAGAGATGGGGTTACTGGCAATACATTGAATAGGTTTCTTGCTTCCCCTGGAACAAGTTGATCTTGGACCATCAGACTAGGTGAGGTCATATTGGCATATCATCTTAAATATGTAGGTCTTTTTATCTATAGTACAATTATTGTCTCTTGAGGGCAATGGCTCTTCGGCCCCTGGACATAGCCTAATTGTTGCAACCCCTTCACTACCTTTATGCTTGAATAGCCAAAGCACATTTAAGATAAAATCAGTTAAGTGGTATGTTTTATCTGCCTGTGTTAGTTTAGTGATCACAATGGGCATATATTGGTAATGTACTTGGAAGTAGGGACCCATAGAAAATGGGAATCCCACTAGGGTAGAATTGCTAGCAATATTACAAGGCCTAATAATGGCAAGAAACCTAAATGTAAGGAAATTGGTTGTTGAAAGAGATTCTAAGGTGGTAGTTTGCTGGCTGAAATACAACAACCAAGGAGCATGACAACATTGGAATTACTTGAAAGATCAAGATCCTTAGCAACAGAATTGAAAGCAAAGTTTCAGTGGGCTTATAGATCAGCAACTCCTTGGTCAATGCCATGGCCAGACAAGAGGTAAATAGGGGGCAACTATATTGGGGCACTTTGTAATAGGGTACTTTATTTGTAAGGCAATAGGGAGGTGGTATCTACCTCACTAGAAGGATTCTTGGCATTCTTTGTACTATGTGTAACTAACTCATTCTTTTTACCATTTAATAAAGTTCATGTTAACCATCAAAAGATACATCTAGGTACATATTCAGTATGTCTTACTCCTTTTCCCTGATCTCTTTCTCTTACTCCTAATAGATTCGTTTTTGATTATCAAAAAGGATTATTGAACAAACCTATTATGCTGTTAGACTAAGATTGTGTACCAGTGTTTTATTACTGGGTGGTTGGTCAAGGGTTTATTTTATTTTTATATTTATCAATATCTATATGTATACATTTTTTTTTCCTTCTGTCAAAAAAGGAAAATTATATGTATACACTATTTTTATATTTATCAATATCTATATGCATATATTGATTGCTTAAATCTAGCTATAAATTCTTTGTCTTTATTAACTCATGCCATGTAACATTCCTTGAACCAGGCTTGATGTATCTGAGGGCGGCTTAGCAGCACTAGTACGGCTAAGCAGTGGTGACATGCGAAAAGCTTTGAACATTTTACAGGTTCTAATTCTCTTATCTGAATAGCTGACATAGATCAAATATGATAACCTATCATAGTTCCTACTATGATGCTTCTAGGTAGAAAGATCCTTCTGAAATCGGGATTTTGGCTATTAAGTTCAAAAAGGCAGTTCATGAAATTGGGATATAGGATACTGGACTATCAGAGTAAAGAAAACAATCTAGGGCCTTGCTTATTGAAAAAAAAAACAAAGAAGAAAAGAAAAGAACTAGGGACAAAGGGTGGAGGTTGTGTGGAATCTGTGAATCATCTATTTCTCAACTGCAGTGTTGCAAGCTACATTTGCAGTAAGATGTTGGCCATTTTTGTGGCAAGAGTGCAAACCAGTTTCTGTGGTGGACTTCTTGAAGGGGTAGAGGGTGGATGGTTTAAGCAAGAAAGGCAAGATGGCATGAACATAATGCCTGCTAATGTGTTCTGGGGTATTTGGCAGGAAAGAAATAGGAGGATTTTCCAAGATAAGCACAGTGAAGCAGACACATTGGTACAGAAAATTATAGGAAAAACGTATTCATGGGTTAGCTGTTCACAAATATTTCAAAGGATGCAGTTATAACTCATTTTTGTATTTGATTTTCTCTTTGTAAACAATCAGGGATATGTGTTGTTATAGAAAATAGGGAGATGTTTTTTTGTAAATTGCCTTTGTATAGCCACTTGTTATACAGGGGCTTCATATTTTGAATGAAATTCTATACTTTGCCTTTACTCAAAAAAAAAAAAAAACTAGGGCGTTGGTGAGTGGTAGAAACTAACATTAGCCCATAGAAGTCTGCATGATGGAATGTAATAGTCATCCTAAAAAATCTTTGCCTATTTAATCATATTTCTGTATCCATATGTGGTTCCTTTTTCCTTGCATGGTAAAATCCTTTATCCCAGAGTGAAGGTCGACAAGGGACAGATTTCTATTCATTTAGATTCTACAGAATTTGGAAGTAGCACCAACACACTGACCTTTTATGGCATTCAACCACCATGGTTCCATGCCTTTGGGTATATTGTTCTCTTCATTGGCATGTACCTGCTGCTTTTCATCGTATAGGCCTGGTCAAGAACCTCTGGTTATGCATTTTAAGTGTCTATAGATCATATGAGGTTGATATTTAGTGTGCTTTCACTAATAGGTAAGATAAATTATTCATTGGCCCATAGTTTTAGAGATCTACATTTTATGAAATGTCAGATGTGGACCACCCTTTTCTATGCATCAAATATGTTTCCTTTCTTTACTTGGAATGTTTATGTATGAATATGCATTTGGAAGCTTATGCAGGAAATGTGGACAGAGACTAATTATTTTTTGAAACATTTGACATGGATACTGATAGGAGAGTCCTACCCAATATGCTGATGCCATGCTTCTAGTTTTTAAGCTACTAAATTTTGATAGTACCAACTTTCACTTGTAGGACACATAAAAAATAAACTAATGTAATATCTGGTGTTTGTATTGGCATTGGTATTCTATCATGTCAACATGGGCACATCAAGCTGTGAACGGGGAAGGTAAGGCAACCAAGGAGATCTAACTGAAAGATGGTAGATGGCTTTGTGAAGGTGAGGAAGGAGGGAGAAAAGTTGCAGGGAAGGCTCTAATGGAGGCTAAGAGCACAATCTGGCAGAGCTTACACACAAGAGTGATAAGCCGTAGGTGAGGAGGGCTTCAAGCCTCCTTTATTTATAGATGAAATCATGTAAGAAGAAAGGAAGCTTTCCCTAAAGTAGGAAAGTTTGTTATTCGGTTAGATTTGGATCAAGAGCGGTTGTAAATTGGGTTTTGCCACGTGTCAATACAGAGATCCTTAGTCCTGGGGTCTGGGTTCCCGACATTCTCCTCCGGATCTGCATGGGAGCACGAGTGTAGCTACAACCCTACTTTTAGAAGGCTCTTGTGACTTGGACAGTTTTTGAGAGAGTCCACATACCAATTGTCATTGCAGACTTGCTGTGGGCAGATTGAACTGTTGTGATGCAACACCTATGTAGGGTGTCATCACAGCGTAGAGAACTGCTGCGATGATGTACCAAATCGCAGGACAATAACGAGGTTCTTAAAACAACACTGGTTGTGCTCTGTGCTGTAATGGTAATTTAGTATTTTACATCACAATTGTGAAGTGTTCATTTTGGCTTGAGATTTGCTATTTGTGGGATTGCTCTGTAGAGGTTTCCAGACTATGCTATAATATAGGTGCTGTGGCTGTATTTGAAATCCTTCCAGTGCAGTTCTTCTTGTGCACTGGGGGGGGGGGGTTAGGCTTGTGGTGCAATGTGAGTGCACCGTGGTCACCTATTTGAGTGTCCTCTAGCACAGTTTCTATAGTGCCCGAATCTGTGACACAAGCATGTCCTGGCTTCTAGCTATTATGGTTTGTCATGTATATACTAATAAGGACCCTCTAAGAGTATGGGTGGCATTCACTCCATGTCAGTGTTGTAGCATTTAGTAGAGACTTATGTGGTGTTTGGCACTGTGGTAGTTTTCTCAGGAACCATTTGTACTTTTATTCCACATTAGTGCCATGTAGACATTTCAACCTTACCTAATGTTATTTTTTTTGTTTGGTTGGGTTGTTTTAAACAAAATGGTTGTACTTGTGTCTTGGGTTTGATGAAAGTAACCTCAATCTCAAGTGAAGATGTCTTTTTTTGTGTTTCTTGCTCCAAGGGAACATTTTCAGCTTCATATCCTATGTGGTGCCTAATGGCACCTAACTAGAATAAGCAACAAGTAACAAAGCGTCAATCTAGTACAACTGCTTTCCCGAGAAGACTACCACGGTACCAACACAACCCTAAACAAGTGAAAGGAAAAAAAGAGCATTGGTTTTGTTTTTATGAGCTACTCTAAAATATTTAATGTCATGGTTCATTATAAAAATGCTGAGATGGAGTTTTTTTGTTAAATTATTGCCTTCAATGTTCTAGTGAAACTTTTTGCTAGGTGCAGATTATTAACTTTGGATGTTAGATACTGTTTTCTTGTTCTGTTAATTCTTTTTATCACGTGAATGAAATTTAGGATTATGTTGTTGATCCTGTTGTCAATGTGCACAGTCGACGCATATGGCTTCTCAGCATATAACTGAAGAGGCTGTCTACCTATGTACCGGAAATCCAATGCCCAAAGACATCGAGCAGATATCTTTTTGGCTTCTCAATGAATCATTTGCAACTAGTTACAGATGTATCCAGAAACTTAGGTTATCTTAAAGTGTGATTCTTTGATTGGTTTCTTTCTTTTGTGTCTATACAAGAAACTGTAGCTTTTTTATATTGTCTACTTAGCTATGCAAAGGTATCTCTGAGATGAAGATGAAGAAAGGATTAGCATTGGTAGACATTGTGAGAGAGGTTACCATGTAAGTTAAATGCATAGTTCTTTCCATTCACTGATTTTCTTTGTCATTGTGAACCTTTGCATTTCCTGGTTATCATTGTATGATTGTTTTTAACAGGTTCATCTTTAAGATCAAAATGCCATCCGATGTTCGTGTGCAGTTGATTAATGATTTGGCTGACATAGAGTATGTATTTGTGTTACTCCTTGTTCTATATAGTCTGCATTTGGTTGCACCTTTAATGAAGGAAACCAATTGATTTCCTTGAAAAATGACATTCAATGATAAGTTGTTGGAGTCTTCTTCATTCAAAGAAAGAGAGAGAGGGAAAAAAATAAAGGATAAAGATAAGGAATGATAAGTTATTGGAGTCTTCTTACTGCCTTTTTCCAGGCTCCTTCATGTTCTTATCTGTAGATTGTTTTGTTTATTTTGCTGCTGCCGTTCTGATTATTTCTGGAACATGTGTAAATGAAATATTGGAATGACAAATGGCATCTTCCATTCATCAAAAAAAAATTGTCATTCAATGGGAAAATGAATCATATTCCTAATTTTCCTGGTGTTTTGCTTAACTTGGAAGCAAATCTGCATGGCTTAGAAATATGGGAATGTTGCAAGATATGTATAGAGGTCTCTGTTGGAAAATGACTAGTAAAAAATTAGAAGGATAATTATTTCACTTTTTTTGGAAGACATTTTTTCAACGGCCTATTTTTTTTCTTACAAAAAAAAAGAAAAAACACTATACAACAACAATTTCTGGAATCATTATTTTTACATGCAACCAAATGGAGCTATAATACTAGAAAAACGTTCATTTTCCCATTTGGTTCAATTTTACAAGAAATGCAAACATTAGTGGTAACATAATATACCTAGTGCATGTATGCAATGTTTAGAGTTTATATTCATGCATACAGATGCATTGATAAGTTTTCTTTCTCTTTATTTCATTCATCTTGTTAGGTCTTCAGTATGATAGATAGTGCTACTGATTATTCTGAGTGTTACACCATGTGATGGAAGAGATTGACCTGTTTCATTCTAAAGGTGTTAACTATGACAATCTTGGGTTCATGCTAAAGCTCAATGGGTTGGCAATCTGCACCATAACAACATTGGTGCAACTTTATAAATAACTGTTTTGTTTTGACTATATTCAAGATTATTGGGTGGCAGAGAGTGGATGAAACCATATTTACGGTCAACAATAAAGTCAATGAACAGCTTCCACCAATGAACATAATTAAGATTCTCAGCAACATAACCATAAAATCAAGTTATGTGTGCCTATCCTGGTCATCCCCTCCATTTGGGGAGTTGTAGTAGGTTCTGTTAAAGCCTCATAGGTTGGGATGGCGATAGAGGTTTGGGTTCTTATGACTTCTTATGGACCAAAATGTTAAAGACTGTTTCAGCCCCCCACCCCCATGCACTTTTGACAAATGATTTTGCCACCAACATTTGAGGATTGAAGTGTATTGTATCATCTGGCTGGTTTTTGATGTGCAGGTATAGGTTGAGTTTTGGGTGCAATGATAAATTGCAACTTGGATCACTAATAGCCTCTTTTACCAGGGCTCGATCTGCTCTGGTTGCTGCTGCAAAGTAGCCATGTCTTTGATTCAGGTGCATTGATGTCCTTGCCATGCTTTTACCTGTGCTTTTCTTATGCTTACTTCCTCGCCCTGACTACAAACTAGCAGATGGGTCTGATTGTGCCTTTTTCATATGATTTAAACTCTAGGCCTGTCGGATGGTGCTGTCAAGGTTACTGAAACATGAAGTCTAGGATGTAAAGATTGTAATGCAAACCTTTCTTTGAATGGATTGGGTGATCAACTACTATGTTACAATGCATTTCTTCTCTCTTGATGAGTGTTGAGCCACCTACTGAGTTGCATCTTGCCCCATCCAAATAGCACGGTTGTTGTTTTCTTCTGTTTCTATTATTTAACAAAAGCACTTCCATGTAAGACTTTCTCATGCAGACGTGGTAATATCATGAGGATGTAGGATGGGGACTCTCTTGAAAATGGGTGGTTTTGTACGTCTTTCCACCCCAAATATTATGAATGATTTTATAAAATCTTCTCCACCTTTATTTTAAAGTTATAATTCTACAGTTCTACACTTGTACCCGTGAAAATCAGATGCAGTGGAGTTGAATCTGTTATGACTTGGAGTAGAATGTGGAGTTTGATGTCTGCTCTCATTGGCTTCAACAGTTTTAACTGTACCCTTGGGAAAAACCCAGAGATTTGGCTCCACATTGATTCGACACTGATAACATATTCTACTGTATAACTGTATATGCATTATGATATAATCACTTGAACGACTTTAATACATTAACATTTTTAACAAGTCTTTAATGGTACATCTTATCACATAAAAGTACATTATGTAACTTGAAACAATGAAAAATAAATAGACCATATGGTGTTTTTTTTTTAAAGTGTTGGTTGAAATTTTAATTTAGCATATAAATTCACCTTAGTTGGACCCTAAATATTATAAATTCACCTTATTGGTTCTGATATCTTAATACCTTTCTTACCAAAAAATTATCTTAATACCTATTCTAAGTTGTGGGCTCCTAGACTCTGTACAGCAACCCTCTACGACTCTGAATAGAAAAAGCAATATAAGAGAAAAATCAAAGGGCTGAAACCCAAGCAAGGGTTAACATCTGCTGTTGAATGATGGCGTTCTGGGAACTGTTAGACGTTTAGCCTTGGCAGCTTGTAAGCATATTTACATTTAACCTCAGCAGTGTGATTTTTAATTGATGCAAAACTGGACTAGCAGAGTAGCAGGAATAGTACTTAGCAACCGACCAACTTACAATATATATATTGGGATGGAAATATTTAGCCAATTAATTTCTTGTGTACAGGTGTACAAGTTTAGATGCCGACTGCTCAGGAATAGTACTTAGCAACCGACCAACTTACAATATATATATTGGGATGGAAATATTTAGCCAATTAATTTCTTGTGTACAGGTGTACAAGTTTAGATGCCGACTGCTCATTCAGATGCTTTCTCATTTGGCATTTTATTTGACCAGGTGATATCAATTTCTAATGTACGAGAAGATCCGTCCTTGTCCTTCTCTTCCTCCTTCTTGTTGCCATTCTGGTTAAGGTTGAAAATCCCACTGTATTCCCCCTGAAAAACAACTTTGTCTATCTGGATTGTCACTGTGCCAAGAGTTGTCTGCAAGGAACAAATCACCAACCTGTCACAATGAAGTTCTGTAGGACTGGAAAGTAAAAGCATGCAACGGAATACCCACATACCTGCCCGAATGTATTTTTGTTTTTGCAAGCGATGTGAAGCATTTGTCCTTTTGGAGGCACATCAAATGCCCAAGTAAACTCTTCTTGCCATTCTGGACTTGTAGTGTGGCTCACTACCTAATTATGATGATCAATTGTTTTAGTGTCAACCACAAATGAAAATACTGAGCGGAAAATTAATATCTAGTCACTACTAACACGATGGTAATACATTGAACCTTTCATAAAATATCACCTATAAATTAAGGGAAATAGGTTAGAGCGAATAAGATGAAACATCTTTCATGATTAAATACTTCAGAACAATGTTTTCAAACCTGCTGTTGACTCGGTTGGTCTAACTGTTTGAACCATCACTTGATCATAATTCTGGGTCCCATTTCTTAAAACCCAAGGTCTGGTTGAGCAATTGACCCATTAGACCTGGTCACCGGGTCACAGGTTGTACACTAAATACATATACAAACTTGAAGAGGTCACAGCTTTGTACTTGATTATTCGATTGAGATGATCTTTTATTATTATTATTTTTTATTTTAGATAGCTTTTGAAGATCTAAGGAGCCGAGGGTGCTTTGCCCTACTATTTTCAACAAAAAACATGTCTTTTGCCACAAATCCTAATTTTTAACGTTTTTACAAATAAAAAATAAAAAACTGAAATAAAAAATATAATTTAAACATAAAATAGTACCTACCTACCTACATACCTACATACCTACATACATACATACATTTATGCTGATGTATCATGATTTGGTCGAACCGACGACCTATGACCCAGAGGCAAAAAACAATTTAGCCTACCTCCAGATTGGTTTTTAAAACATTGCTTCGGAATTTCTTCCAAGAAATTGCCAAACTTAATTTGCAATATACTTCATTATCAGTTAAAACTTCCAGAAATGTTAGTTTTCATCATTTTGTCTCTTCTATGATAACGAGGTTTACTATTTTCTTGATATTTATTTTCTAGCCTTAATAAATATTTATGTTCTCTCTCTCCGGCAAGTTTCAGATCAAAGCCCTTGCTACACTATTTGTATATATATTCGTTTTTTTTTTGTTCTAAATAATAAACTAAAACCGGATATGACTCCATTGATATGGGGGATGGGGATGTGGCCAATCCAAAAGGTTATCCTATCCAGTTAATGGCTGGTTTGGATCAGCACACAATTCCTACAAGTAACAAAGACATGCTAGATCGTGTCAGGAAGCTGCTATATGACCTTACTCATTTCCAATTGTTGATGTAGTAACAACAACCATCCAGAAATGCAATATTTCCAGGTAAAAGGTTCTCACCTTGAACACGTGGCAAGGTTTTTAAGGATGAAATTTACCCTATAAATAAAGGATGAGAATGTTCCTATCCGACCCCAAAGAACGTTGCTGCATGCAAGACTCATGGGTCAATTAGACTTCCCAAAATGGTCCTTGACTAGCAGACTAGTCTATATAATCAGGCAGAAGATCCAAGAGAAAGCTTAAATTAGGTGGATAACTGCATCGCTAAATTGGTTGCAAATGAAGCCAGTATTGTGAGAAGCAGCTGCATAGGGGAGATTTACCTTTGTATGACGTGGAGGACAATTTCCAATAGTCAATCGACAGAAGGCACTCATGTTTCCCACTGTATTCTTCAAGTTGTTACCACGCTTAATAGTGACAGTCAAACATCCAGGCAAGCAATGCAATAGGCTTTCTGCTTTCTCATGGAATCTCGGTGGGCATTTCATCATCGTCTGCAAAACTGGAATAGCTTCACTAGCAATTTTAGCTTGTGTTTTAACAATATCTACTGGCAAAATTGACCATGACAGTCTCAACAAGCACAATATGTCCAGTACAGATTCCTGAGCTGCCTCACTGCCAGCCTTGAGTAGTCCTATCAAATGTGGGATGCACAGGGTAGCTGCCTCAGAATTGTGAAGCTTCGTGAAGTTGCTGAACATCACATGTATTGTTCTCAGAACCTCCTCATAGACAATTGGCGTGGACCACTCTTTCTCCAATGTCGCTGCATGGCATGTTGATAGGATCCAAATTAGTAAAGACATGCACAAATAATAATACACAGATATGTTTTTTATATCAAAAGAAACATTTGCTTGCAAAAAAGAGTGCATAAAATAAACAAAAACTTTGCTGCAAAATGACAACCAACTTCTCCAGTGTTGGCTTGTCTTACATTGCTGACCCCAAGCCCAGATAAAAGATGAGGGTTGTGTCCGGTTGGCAGCTGGCATGAAAACCTGTAGCCAATCTGATATGAACATGATGAATCCTGACCACCCTTGTGTGCAAATAAAAAGAAAAGAAAAATATTCCAAGTACCCATTTGATGTTTTCTTGATGGAAATTGTGCTCAAATATGTTGTCTCACTTTGGAGCAAAAAGAAACTTTAGATTGGGCTCAACCCCAGAATCTGTTTGATAAAATCAGTTCGATTTTTATTCTGCTCCAGATAGAAGCTGTAACCAATTTCCAAATATCTGATTTCAATGGATAATAACATGCCTGCTACTATTATATATGCCCAAAAAAAGTGGATCCTGACTCTTAATTTACAGATTATGGTAGATGATCTACCATGGCCCAATTTCGTGTAGGGGGTCTTTGGAACCTTGGTGTTCCATTTCTGTTTAAAGTCCAGCTAAGCACCATTGTAGGTGTTTTGACTTTACCTTCCAAAAATCCTGTTTGGTTGGACAAAATCAAGTACAAGTTTTTTCAGGGGGGAGGGGGGGGGGGGAAGCATCATAAAGTTGTTTCCCCTAACAGGAGCATTTCCACTTCGGATGTCCTATTTGGTGCCTAGATTATCTAGGTGTTTAAAACAATAATAAATTATTATACACTGTATTATGTGGTAAAACATCTCCAGCTCTGAAAATCAAGGATTAAAATTTCATAACATCAGCTTATATCAATCGATACATATCGTATTGGTGTTGACGAATCATAAATATGTGAAATGCTTGGTGTTTTGGGGGTTTAACCTATTTTGGGGGTATACAGGCCTTATACCGACCCCCTGAACAGGTTTGAAAAAAAAATCTGAAAAAATATGAAGCATGTTCCAAAGTCAACATTTAGAACCTTGCTGGAAATCCAATGCCAAAAATCAAGTACAAATACTGAGACTTAGAACATCACAATACCAAACACTCCCTTGGTTATTTTCATTATACAAAAACTTGTTTCCTTAAAATTCAAAATTTCAAACACATTTTTTTATAAGAAATAACTCCTTTTCTTTTCCAATGATATCCCTTGTTACTAGATCCAGACTGGGGGGGGGGGTTCAAGGGGTTCATGATTATCATAAAGCCAATGTAATGGCCTAGATTAGTAGGGCCCACAAACATTAAGCTGGATTATGATTGGACCCAATTTTAGTCCCTAGGTTAAAAATCCATTATTCCATTTGCATGCCTTGGCGTGTTCCAACAGAACACTACCACTTCCCTATCGAGCTATAACATCATCTTATCTCCATCATTCCATGTTGTCATTATCCAACTCTGTATTTATCTTTTTTATCCTTCTTTTTCTCCTTGAACTCTGATAGAAATTTATCATGGTATTAGAGCATCTCCTAACCCAGGTCAATCATTGCGATGGAAGAAAGAGGGGCACAGTTCTAGTAACCAGCCTACTTACTAGTGAGACTTATGCCACTTGGAGCAGAGCCTTGACCATGGCACTTTCAGCCAAGAATAAACCTGGCTTCATTGATTGAAGTATCCACAGAAGAACCATATTAAACACCATACATAGAGACCTTGCCCCAAGTGTGGAAAGATCTGAAGGAGCAATTCTCTGTCAGTAATGGACCAAGAATTTATCAACTCCAGTGGTCAACTGCAACGCTCCAGAAAAACAATTCTTCCGTGGCAGCTTATTATAACAACTTGGAAGGCCAATGTGATGAACTTATGACTTATGCACCTCTCCCTTCATGTTCTTGTTCTTGCTCGGGCTCCAAAGAGATAAGTACTTAATTTTCAACGGCAGCAACTAATGCAATTTTTTTATGGGTCTAAATGATAGCTACTCTATTGTTCGTTCTTAGATTCACTTAATGGATCCCTTGCCCACCATTGGGACGGCCTATTCTCTAGTTTTGCAAGATTAAACACACAGAGCTATCCAATCTCATTCCTGACAGTGCTGCACTTAGTACGATATTGGAAACTGCAACTAGCACAGACATTGCTACCAAAACACCCCTGGTATAGCCAATGCATCATACCCACCAAAGTTGAAAGAAAGGTGCACCTACTGTAATATTATTGGACACACTCGGGACGTGTGCTACAAACTTAATGAATACCCTTCACATTTCAAGTGCCGCATTAATAACACAAGTAATTCACGCCCATCAAAAGATGATAATCCAGATGGCAGCTCGAATCCCTCATGAATTGCCAGCAGCCCAGCACTCAGATCATGACTGAACAGTATAGCCAACTGATCATTAAGCTATTGAATAAGATAAAGCTCTCCTGCTAATTTGGCCATCTTGCCTAATTTCTTAGTCATTGAATAGCACCAATTGGGTCATTGACATAGGTGCTAGTGAACACATGGTGGGGAACCCTAACTTACTCTCCTCCACCACTAAACATGACAAATCCCTAAGCCCTATTACTCTACCAGGTGACCGTGTTACACCTGTTGCATCTGTTGGTTGTGCTTCACTTAACAAAGATCTATCACTTACTAATGTACTTTATTGCTGAGCTTTTGTTTTAATCTTCTTTATGTTAGTAAGTTGACTTCTTCATTACATTGTTCTGTGACATTTTACCCTGATCATTGTGTATTTAAGGACCTTTCAACGAAGAAAGTAATTGGACTAGGTAAAGAACATGGCTGGATATATTATTTTCTTCATGACACACCACCAACATCACACTCACTTTTACCTTACTGAGCTTTGACCTATGGCACTGGCGACTTGATCATCCATCATCTGGGCCCTTGAATAAATTTAAGTCTAGCTTTCTTGATGTTAATTCTACTTCTTGTCCATCCATACGTAGTGATGTTTGTCCTCTTTCTAAGAAACACGCATACCATTTATGAAGAGTTCAATCACTACTGATGCACCCTTCTCTATAATGCATTGTGACATATGGGGTCCTCCTTTTCTGGGGCAAGATACTTTCTTTCCATTGTGGATGATTTCACCATATGTACATGGGTCTTCTTAATGCAATTCAAATAAGAGATTTTGCACATTTTACAATACTTCCGTTCTTATGTAAAGACCCAATTTACCCTTTCCATTAAAATCTTACGCACCGACAATGGTAAAGATTTTTTTTTCACATCCCATGCAGTCTTTCTTATATGCAAATGGCATTATTCATCACCATATTTGTGTCTCCAATCCCCAGCAAAATGGTGTTGTGGAGCGGAAGCACCACCACCTACTTAACGTGGCATGTGCTCTCCATTTCCAATTAGGCCTTTCTCTTGATTTATGGGTAGAGTGCATCCTTACTGCTGCATATTTAGTGACATGTGTATAAATCTTGACCTTTTGTTAAGGCCTTTGCTATGAAGTTGAGACTTTAATGTTTTTAGTTAGAAATTTTCTATTTCCAAATATCTGATTAATAGTGGTTATTTGGTTGGTTGGAGGAACTAAGAAGTGGACCGTAATGAGCTTATTTATAAAGATAGGCCTAAGAATGGTAAGTCTCATCCAAATAAAATCATGGACATATGTAGCCAATATGGTGAGGCTAGAATGGAAGTGGAGGATAATAGAGTAGCCGCAGATTTACAATCCGAGCAACAAAATGACAGGAAAGAGCGGGGAGGTGGATTCGAAGAGTCTTCTAAGGAAGCTATCCCCGAGAAGGAAAAAGTGGGCATCGATAGACTAATGGACAGACAGGTCAAAATCGGGAAATCTCTTGGATTATTCTCCTTTGGGGAGGGGGGTGGGGAGCGGTAGTCAGGAAAGCAATTGAACAGTTTGAAAGAAACCGAAGGGAAGAGCTGAACAACTTGAGGAGTGTGGGGGGAAGGGGGTGAGGCCTGGGAGGACGGTGAAGGGGGAGAGAAAGGAATAATGGATGAAGAATAATGGGTTGTCCACTAAGTAGCAGTTGGGGAAGGAGGTTTCTGTTTGAGGATGTAGAAGGCTCGGGTCTGACGGGGGAGGAGGGAGTTCTCTTTTGTTTTGTTGCCTTCAAGCCGCAGTGCATCTTGTCAGAGGTTCAAGTTGTTATGCAATTATGTAAAACTATAGTCTATGGCTGACTCTAAATAAACATGATATTAAGTTATTAACAAGGGAAGATGATCTGTAAACTATAAGGAGGACTCATGGAAATGGTTGACAAGAGAGGTAACGGTTATGGTCTTTCAGAAATGACTTACCTGTCAAAGATCCGATGAGCTCATTTGATACGTACTCTTGAAGCGTGTGATTCGAAAATAGTAACTTGATCAGCAACGCTGTTTGAGCAGCAATGTCTGGATTGGGAGAAAGTAGTAGTTCCTCAAGTACCAATATGCCACCTGCTTCTGCAACTACTCGCCTATTTGTCCTACTATGGACAACAAAGTTTTGCAATGCACAAATGACCACCGTTTTCATATCTTCATTTGGTTGATCTTCAAGCAAGCTTATCAGAGCATGACATGCAGATGTAGAATCACTAGCCCTAGCAAGTACTTCATACTGGGAGAGGTCACCAAGAGCAATAGCTGCAAGGAACTTACCTGTCTCTGATTTGGTTTGTGGATCCAAAAGATACTGAGACAAAGGAGCTATTGCATATCTGCAAACCTTCTTTTTTCGTACCCTTTCATTGTTAAATAATGCTTCAAGTAGTCTTCCAGATGCCTCTTCACACTGATGAGATGTTAGAAGGTCCATCAACAGATCAATTGCACCGGCATCAACCATCAGTTCAGCACTGGAAGGATCACTTCTCTCTAGAACAATCAAGGCATTAAGAGCAACTGTAACAGTGCTCTCCAATACTGAGTGCAACATTTTCACCAGCACCTCTAGAGAAACTTTGTAATAATACTCAGTGTCTATTTTTAAAATATTTGATAGGACCAATGAAGCTGATTCCAACAATTCTTCTGGTGGTTGAGGATCATCTTGAATAATAATCTTGGAGAGCTCGAAAATACCCCCAGCATCAGCTACAGCCTTTGGCCAGATTGTGGAGATACTCTCTAATGCCTTTATAGCAGTTTGCTGCACGTTCAATTTTCCAGTTCCTGCAAGCTGAACGATAGGCACAATTGCATTTTGTGTTGTAATATCCTCTTGGAAATTCTCCACTGCTAGAAGATGAGACAACAACTCAGTGCCTAATTGTTGGATGGTTTGAGATGGGGATTTCAAAAGTGTAATTAGATGTTTAATTACTTGGCTAGGAGTAAGTTTCAACGTTGCAAGGTTTTCTGGTTTCTCCAAAATATTTACAAGTGTTTGCAAGGCACTATGCTGTCCCGATATGCTGATATCTTGATGTTGTAAAGCCATGAATAGAGGCTCAAGCATTTTCATAGCAGCTGAGCTTTTTGCAATCCCACTATTATTTGTTAAGACGCGAAACAACTTAGCAATTGAGGAACACAGTGAACCAGGTGCAGAAGGGAGTAACTCAAGGCATCTATCGATAATGCCGGCTTTGACCATATCCAACTTGCAAGGAGTATGGTCTTTCCCCAACTTTATGAGAGCATTGATGCTAGCCTCAGTAATTTGGTTATTTGACTTAGCAACCAAGCCAACAAGAAGGTCTACAACATTATGTGCTGCTGCAAATTCAACTTGTTGTTCATCATCCAATAACCTCTCAAAGGCGCATACACCAGATTCCACGGCTGCACTTGTATCTGATTGCATGAGTGATATGAGAAACTGTATACATTCAGTGGCAATTGGCATTGCCCGTACTTTTGGGTTACCAAACAGAACGAAACACAGTTGTGCAGCATTTTTCTTCAATTCTAATGATGAAGAAGATGCTAAAATCTTGTACAGCATCTCAAGTGGATCTCCTTCTACATCTGCTAAATATGATGCCTTTGAAGCACTTCCTGATGTCAATTTTATTAGGGCAACAAGAATTTCCTGTTGCTCTCTTTCCAATCCAGTATTAAGCATTTCAACTAAAGGTTGAATGGCTTGTCTGGCTAATTCAGTATCTCTGATGTTTTCATAATCAAAAAGTTCTTGCAGAGCCCCAACAGCACTAAGCCTAGCACTTCTTGACCCCAAATGCAGTACAGCTATGAGTTGATTCAAAGAACTAAGTGAAGCTTCATGGCGAACAACATCGGGGTTGCTATACAAGATTCTTAATAGTTCAGATATGGTGGTCTCAGTTGTGTCTTTAGGACTCAGAGACAGGTATTTTGCTAAAGCATCAAGAGCTCCAGCTTCAGCCATTGCAAGTTTGTGGGCATCCTTTCCACCAGCAATATGCGTCAAAAGATGAACAGCAATTGAAGGGGCACCTGGCCTATCTGGCATTGGTCTCAAGAGATCCACTAGCAAAGGTATTAAATTAAGTGCAATAGGGCCAGTTCTTACATCTTTGATTCTAAAAAGGTGATCCAGAACAACTTGATCAGGATTTTGTAGTAAAGAAAATTCTTCAGATAGAGTGACCAGCTTTGGCATATCTAGTTCAATGTAACCAATTAAAGTCAGTAACCCTGCAACTGCACCTGAATTTGCAATCCCAAGTTGTATACCCTTATTTCCACTACTGACAAGACTAGCCATTGCCTGAGTGGCAAAGTATCTATCAATCACTTTATCAGACTTGAGCAGAAGAGCCAGTAAAGGTATGATCCTCATGGTTGCAGGAGAAAGAGCAACATTTGCATCCTGAAACAAAATAGCCAGAAGTAGGGCACTAATCCATATGCCTTCTGTATCCTCAAATTTTGCCTGTAATGAAACAATCTTTTTCATTCAGATACATAAAAGTTAAAAAAATGTAAAAATGTTATACAAATAAGCCAGATCCATATTTAGATGAATACAAAAGAACCCGACTTATAAAGATGTAACTACCTCAAAGATAGGTGGCAAGGGGGTTTAAGAAAGAAGAAAAAGAGAAAAAACCTACCTGTGGATTGGCAGTATAACTTCCAAGCTTATCAGACAGAGCTTCCAATCCTCCAGCTTCCTTGACAATGATTTTGTTCTTTGCATTAAATGAAGAAATTATTGCTAGCAACCACAAAGGAACCGTTCCACCCAAGACAGTGGCTGGATCAGGAACATCAAATTTGTTTCCCTCCCATAAACGAGTCCTTTCCATATAATCCCTAGGTTTTCTTACTTTAATTTCTAGAGAGCGGCAGCTAGAATCATGCTTCATCATATCAACAAGAGCATAAATGAGTGGCTTTATAAAACCTGATGCTGCAAGTGCATCCATTGATTGCTGTTTGTGTTCCTTGGCAGCACAAGTGAGTAGTGCAGCCCCTCCAACTCTCACTTGTAGACTGGATGAATTCATTATTCTATTAGCTAGCGAAACGATTGCTCTTGGGTTTGCAACTAATAGATCACCAAGAACAACAGGTTGATCACCACATAACCTAGACAGAATTTCTATTACCTTGTCTTGTGCTCGAGGAAGCCCATCAGCCAAACAGTGTACAAGTGGCTCTAAACTGGAGGGAACTTCAAGTAGTGCAGCCCATGGGGGTTTAGTGAAGTTCACACTCTGTTTTGTCCTAGCCAAAATTGCAACTGCTTCTAGAGCATGAGTGGAATCATTCCCATCCATGTCCATTTCAGTCAAGGAATTAACAAGTGCAAGAACCAGAAAACGGCACTGTGCGTCTCCCGTAAGAACATCTTCTACTGGGAAATGATTTAATAACTGATGAAGCGCGCGCGATGCATTCTTCTTACCTTCTAAGCTCCCTTCTCCGAGTACTCTTGTCAAAGCTGAGACGACATCTTCTTCCAGAGCTTCAGCAGCTATCTGAGGATCAGAGAGAAGATCAGCCAGTGCAGTTAGTGCAGTCTCAGCAGCATCGATGGAAGCTGTTTTCGCCAGCTTGATTAGTGCCTTGACATCTCTTTCAGCAATGCAAGGCATCTTGTTCGTGGTCTTAGCCTTAGCCTTGGTTGGACAGGACAATTCACCCTGGGCCGGAGTTGATTGCTTTGCAACCTGAGTTTCTTTTTCGTTGGTCAATATTTTCTTACAAGGGAGAACAATATTATCAGCTGCAAGACTATCACAAATATCTTGTCTACTGTTAAATAGATCAGCAAGAACTGAAGTTGCATACTCTTGAGTTTCCTTATTTGAGGAGTTGAGAAACTGGACAAGAGATGTAAGGATTTTATTAGCAGGAGTACCCTTCTGCACAAGGTCTTCTTGGGGGGCCATGGTGAGTGCATGACCCAACACCCTAATAATGTGTTCCTTTGACTGTGGAGTATCTCCTAGAAGCAACGCCAAAAGCTGATCAATGGTATCTGAATCAACCAATCGTATAAGCTTTCTAAGTGCCCTTGCTGAAGCTTCTTGTCCTTTAGGGCTCCCACTTTTTAGAAGCCATAGTAATGCTGGGATGGCTCCGGCACTTTCAACACAGGCACATATGTCTTCACTGTGGCAGCATAAATTCCACAACACATGTGCGGCATCTTCCCTTGCCCTCTGAGAACCCACCTCTAATAACTGTACCAGTGGAGGAATGCCACCAGCAGCAGTGATAGCCCATTTGCTGTCATCGGCATGATCTGTTAAGATTACAAGCATCGCAACAGCATACTCTTGATGTTGTTCACTAGATAAACCCAGGAAAGATATTAATAACTGAACGCCCTCTTTCTTTCCAAGAGCCTCCCATGGATCCACCCCATCGCAGCATAAGCTGATAAAAGAGAGAATCAGATATTCTTGAACATCAGCTGATGCCATGGTTATCAGTCCGATGAGGACGCTCTTTGCATCTGCATGGTTGAGCCATCTCGATAGATAAGTGTTTCCATAGAGGCAGGCCAAAGCCTCAAGGACACGGTGCTGAACCGGCTTATTATCTCGAGGCTTTAAGAGCATTACTAGAATATCTTCTATCTGTGTTTCATCAAATGGTTCTTCTTCAGTGCTAGATGTCTGTTCAAAGATCATCAGTGAATATGCTAGTGTTCCAATTATATCAGCAACTGGAGCAGCCAATCGAGGTGCTTGGGACAGTTCTCCGAGATAAAGTATTAGAGAAGACATCCCACCACAGATATTTGCTAAAGCACGAATGGCATGTCCCTGCAAAGCCTGTGCACACTCCCCCTGCATACGCTCTTTAGAAGGAGCAACTACAGCTCCAATAAGAACAGGTATGCCACCTGCATCCACCACAGCCGTCTTACCCCTTGTTGAATCAGATGAAAGAGCCTCCAAAGCATCGGAAGCACTTGCACGAACCGAAATATCATTTTCCTTACTCACCAGTCGAAGCAATACTTCAACAGCACCAGCATCTATAACTTTGGGGATACAATCACTAAAAGTAAACATCAAACGAGCCAGGAGAGAGGCTGCATTGGACTGAGCAACAGCATTATCAGAAGAAAGAAGTCCAACAATAATATCTACTCCTCCTGCCTCAAGTGTAGCCTTCCAATGCCCATCCTTGTCTCCACAAAGATTCCTCAAGGCTCCAGTGATAAAACCCTCTACCACTTTGTCCTGTTTGATTTTTGGATTGAGCTGATCCCACAGGGTTGGAACCACACCTTCTGTGACAAATATTTTCATACCCACGTGATCATCCGATAACCCACCACAGGAAACTTCATAGATTGCCTCTGCAGCTGCCCTCCTGCTCTCAGTTGATTCAGACTGCAGAAGCGAGAGTAATGGTGGTATACACCCTCCAAGCAGCACCTTCACCCGTAAGTCTTCTTCCTTGCAGAGAGCACTCAGAGTTGCAGCAACATTCGTTTTAGCCACACGCGTACCATTCCTGAGGATGGATATAAACAATGGCATGGCCTGTGAGTGGGAACCGATAAATGTTCTTGCCTCCTTTCTTGCTCTAGCAATGCCCAGCAAACGTGTTGTAATAAGCTCTTTTTCATGTGGTGAGGACATATCGGCATGTAGCTGCTCAATGAAATGAGCAGTAGTAGACATTGTAGATTTTGGATCATCCATTCTCGTAGTTACAGTTGTTTCCCTGAGAAAAAAAAAGAACAGGGAATCCCTCAGCAAGAGTAATCATTTAGTAGTATAAGATATCAAAATCAGTCCCCAAATTGTCAAGGGAGTTCCAGAGTTACTTGCAACAACTTAAAAACAATGTATTAGATTAACCAATTGAAAGACTTCAAACAATTCTTTTGGTAATAATTTGATCAGAATGCGGTTCGATCTTGAGACCAACTAGAAATTACAATCATTAGTTAATCCCTAAAAACACATTCTGGTGTCAGAACCATTCACTGTTAGTATAGACTAAGAGATCAAGTGATGGGAGAAATACAAACCTAGGCAGAGAAGTAGATGAGGATATGAGCTCTTGGGGTTCAGGGAGGGAGACTTTGATATTTGCATGAATTGTCAAATCTAGCTCTTGCTGTGGCCACCTGCACATCAAAAGCATTAAACAACTCGAAGGATGAAATAACAATGTCAACAACCAATTCTCAAGTCTCACGACCCCCACCCAGTCCCCCTAAAAATGAAAAAAAAAAAGGAAAATCAGCAAAGGAAGAAACAAATTAAGTATTAAACATTAAAAAGGACAAAAAAAATCTACTTCCACTCAAACTGACAAAATTCAATAAGATTGTAACATAACCCAGAAAACCCAGTTCAAATTTTCCAAGCTACAACGACGTCCAGATCCAATTTCTTGCCTACAACCACAAGTTTTAAGCTCTCACGCTTAGGAAACCAAATTGCAGTAACTCGACCCAATATGTAGGATACATATATTAATGAAATGATGCAGTTAGCATATAAAACAAATTATCCACCACATTAATCACATGAAGAGATCGCAAATTAATGTACCTGAGGCCACCAATAATGCAAATGTCGAAGAACTCCCCCTCTGCTTTTTAATTCCAGCTCCTCCTCATCCTCCTCTGCCCGAGAAGATTAAAGTTTAGTTCCTCTCCATCGAATTGTCTACTGGTTCAATAAAGGAGGGTGAAGCACGTAGAGGCAGAGCTCACAACAGTAAGCCCCGGCCCCTGTAATTCAATCCATCCACCACCTGCAGCATCAACAACTCAAATATCATTTAACGGCGAAAATCCAAACCTCCAAAAGAAAAATTAGAAACAATTACGTAAATTCCGCCATTAACAATGCCAAAAAAAATCGATCACGAATTGCAGGAATGGTTGCAACAAGAACCAAAAATAAAAATCAAAAAGGGAGTAAGAACAGTACAGAGATCAGATCACAAGCACATTACAGAATGTAGGGCAAGACCCATCATTTTCTTCATTAAGGAAAACAAGAAACGAATATAAACTTAAACCCATACCCTGAAATTAAGACTCTCTGAAATACAAAAAATGGCCGTTTTGTTTATTTTTCCGCAAGCTCTGTCACTGGCTTCTGTCTCCCATGGTGGGAACCGTTTGAGAGAAAGTTAGAGAGGGAAATGTGTATAGAGAGAGAGAGAGTGGATGGTGCAAGTCTTTTCTTTTCCTTCCTCTTTCTCTCTCTTTTCTTTATTTTCTCTTTCTTCCCATTAATTCATTTCCTTTTGTTTTGTTGTCAGAGAAAACGGGCGTTTGATTCGGTGAGAGTGTGGAAGGCAATGACTCAAAATCAAATATATGGTTTTCCCCTGTTCTGTATTCTCTACCTAATTGACTGGTTTATATTCAGACCCACTTTCTCCGGATGGTTGGATGGTTTCCTTTTCTATGGGATGGTTTTGTCCAATGAGAATGATTTGGCCTGATTTTGAGTTTTCACAGGTAATCTTCACCCAAGTTGGCAAGGTTCAATGGAGGTTGGCTACCAGTCAAAAGGGTTGGTGGTGTGGGGAATAGGATCTATACGGGCCGTCTAATAGATCTTCTTCATTTATTATTTGTATGTTTGCCAATTACCTGACCCATCACTTCCCTCTGTTATATTTGCTATAATTAAGGGTGGCTCATCAATTGCTCTCTTATTAAATTGGAGCAACTGAAGGATATATCCACTCATCTGCCACCAATGCAGGTGAATTTACCAGTACCGCTCCAAAAGATTGTGTGTGTTTTTTTTTATTATATTGAGATTAGCAAAAACAAATGCTGGAACGTTTGTCACATCTTATTTTTTACTTCCAGAGATCTTATCTTTTTGCAGTATAAATATAATGTAGATGTATAAATGAAAAGTAAATGTGAATAGTTTGTATGGCAAGGAGTTATCTCATTGGAGATGACAGAAAATGGGTCTTAATTTGGGTTTGATCTGAGGTGCTTCTGTTTTTGAAACTAGATGGACTAGATTGGATCTGTTTAAATTAACCTGCAACACTGAAAATAATGGGTCTTAGATATAAGACCTTTAACCCCATTAATGGAGATGGTTGTAGGATGGACATGATTTCATCCACTTTTAAGAGGATGGTTTGAATGAATGGGATATGATCAATACATAAAACCTCTATATGTTTATGATCATTTACTCTGGTAGGGGACTAGGGATGCTCTTGCAGAGAATGAGTGGTTGGGGTGATGATGTTGCAGAAAGATGAAGATTTGTAAAGACTGAAGAATGGTTTGGATTGAGTATATGAACCCAGAATGAACCCCGCCATTTTTATTCATACAACGCAGAAAGAACAATAGGATTGGCTAAGTGGGCCATGAATTGCTGGTTCTCAAGACTCAGCCAGCTTGCCTCTGTTGAAATATCTGGAATGGCAACAATGGTACCTTCAAGGTTTCTCTGTTACCTTTTGCAGGTGAAGAAGAGAGTATCTCTATCCACTTGGGTGATCTTCTCCTGTTCTTCTGAATGTTGTAAATCTTTCTGATATGGAGGGATAAGTGCTCTCTTGTCGTCAAATCAAGCCCAAATCATGTCTGTAGATACTTGTGCTCAGAGATATATGGTTAAGATGAGAGTCACTTTCAACAGATACAAACTGCAATGAGGCTAGTACAGGCTTGCTGTACATCAGCAGAACACTGACCATGCATTGCCGGACACAGGCCTTAATAATCAATGAAATAGTATAGCAATGTGATCCCATACCACCATGAATTGGTTGAAGAAGAATCTAAATCTAAATCTAAACCGAAATCGATGAATCGAAAATGATAGCAAAGAGGGTGTTGCCAAACCCAACAGGACCTCATCTGTTAGAAGGGTGGGACATGGAAATGGAAGGATGTTACAGTCTCTAGGTGAATTGGCAAAGGAAGCTTAGAAGGTTTATGCTAATTAGTACATCTTATTTGTCATGGCCCAGTGCCTATCTGTGAATTTTTAACAGTCCAAAAGGTTATTTGCTCCCTTAGGGTCCTTTTGTTGAAGAAGAATAGACTTTACATTGAAATGATTATGTTTATGGAGCCTACAAAGACTGTGACTGAAAGCGAAAGATGAGGTTGTGGGTCACAATAAGACAATTCTTTTTAAAATTCAAATGTGTAAATGGAGGGTAGAATTTATGTACCTGTTACCATAAGAACCAAGAATGTCGATAGCCCTTTGGAGACAAAAGGTTGAATTATTGTTGAGTAGATAAAGGTTGATGAAGTTATTAGAAACCATATGGTTCATGTCTGAATTCTAGTCAATTCTGAAACTGTTGGAAAATAGCTGAAGTGGCTGAACTGAATGACTTATTACTTTGTCATTTAGTTAATAACCTTGTAAGGAGGTTGTGAGCTCCTTAATGACTGAAGCCTGAAGCTGAAGTTGGATTACTTACTATACCCTCCAATATTTTATTATTTAATTAGCTACTCTATCCACTAAAAGACAAGGCGATAAGTCGTTCAGTTCAGCCGCTTCATCTGTTATCAAACGACCTTATGTTGGCCTTCAAGATGAGTTGGATCCTAAGATCAGATCAGGTTGGATTTGTGGTCTGCCAAGGAGATTAGAATTGATTCTGCTACGTAGACTTGATTTGGCTCTGCATCAGAATTGGACCCGCACGACTTAGGATCCGCATTTTGGTTGGAAAATATTTTTCTCACACATGCATGATAGAAGCCTAGAAGGAATGGAAACAAACTCAAGAATTATATTTAACCAACCCAAATACATTTTGGTTCATGGATCAGATACGTTTAGATCAGAGGTGTGATATTGATCTCCATTCTCCACCCATAATTTTGGAGTCTTTCCAGTTTGTTCATGTGAATTTAGACCAGTTGATCCATTCCAAAGGTCATTGACTCATTGCTTTGTACCAGTGCTGTCTCATGGGGTCACGATTTCACTGGTTAACCAGCCAATTAGATCATTCAGCCCCTCATAATCTTCAAATAACTAGGACCCAGAAAGTTTATCAGATCATACGACACAGCAATGCTTTGTGCCATGGTAAAATCTCAGATGCAGATTGACAAGAATGAGAATGTGGGTTTGAGTCTGACTGTCTGAGAGTGGCCCCTTCGGCCTGGATTGCCCTCTAACACCACCCCAGAACCCAGATTGATTGGGTAAGGGCCTGTTAATCAACATGATTCATTCTAGATCCAACCCTTTCATGCTCGTCATTTTCCAGTGGTTCTACCAAACCAGAGAACAATCTGAGCAATCTATTCAGCATGTGGGTTGTCGTTATTCAACCCAACCAACACTTATGGGTGGATTTTAGTGCCAATTCCTCTCACCCAGCTAAAAATCCTTGGCTATTAGCCTATTAGTCAACATCAGATCAGAACCCTAGTTGGTTGCATAAAGACAAATTGAAATCCTAAGTTGCTCAAAACTCTAAATTTTGAAGCAACAGTTTCAGATTTAATTAATTCTTGTGTTAGATTTACTTTAGCTCTTTATAATTGTGCAGTGACAATATAATAAATTAACAGATAGGTTGGTATTAAAGAACATAAGAACCATTGGGGGTTGATTGAAAATCTGTTGAAAATGCTCATCCTTTAGATTGCCTTGGTTCTAAACAGGGAATTTGGCAGTGAAATTGGGTGATGAACAATTTTGATTGGTAATTAGCTGATGGTTAATTGGATTGAGTGGGTTTTCAATATGGATGAGTATTTCTGCATCATAATTCTCTTGGTATAAGTCTACATCATAATGACTATTACAAACATTACATCATTTATATTTTCTTGTTTATTCGATGGAGTTCTGTTCTCCCAGAAGGACCCTTTCTACACAGATGATACATGCTTTTGGAGTGAAAATAAGAAGGCAATTGTTATTTTATGTGAAACATATGTTGTCCATTCTTGATAAATTAAGGGGGGTGTTTCATGTTTGTCAATATGTATGCTTTTGTTTTTCAAAAAAGAAAAAACAATAGCCACGTCAGCAAAATTATATCATTTTTGCTGATGTGGCCTTCAATTTTGTATTGAAATTAAGATCATATATATTGGTAAACACCTCCTAAGATAACCTTTATGGGTATGGTTTTAAATCAAACTAAGAAAATGCTGATGAGTATTTCAACACCTCCTAAGATAACCTTTATGGCTATGGTTTTGGTAAGATCCGCTTTTGATAGTTTTGATCTGTGAAACAAGAAGATAAGGAACTGCTTTCTATCCTTGAAACAATAGGAAAAAGTTCTTCAAACAAGAGAGGGAAAAAGGAAAACTTAACCCTAAGAAGCGAGAAAATTTCTTAACTTCAGTTTCCTGACTTTGAATGATTCTCCTCCTCTTGGGCAGAATTATTTTGGCTGAGACTGAGAGAAGATGCAAAAGCTTTGAGAAAAATAGGGCATGGAGATGGAGGTGGAATAGTGTACTAGTTGTAATTTTGACTCGGTCCATACCTTCCATAAATATGTGACAAGAACTCCTGAGTCCAGTTTTATGGTGAAGCCCAAAACCACCCCGAAAGGCCCAGTTTTAATGAAGGAAATGTTAGGGTTAAGACTCCAGAGTACCCAAAGGCCCTTATATTCCGAGCCAAGACTAGGCCGTCTGGGCTTAAAAAAAAAAAAAAATGGGCCGTCAGATTTCGTATCCCATGAAATTGGAGCAGCTTAAATATTCTCTATCAGAAAGGAACCGTGGCGAATGAAATAAAAATTACCCTGTGCTGTTTTTGGATATAAAACGGAAGAGAGAAAGTTGAGGGATGATTCATAAGGCTGAATTTGATTGCAGTGAAAAAATCCTTTACGTACATTTACATCAATTTACAATGAAAAAGTGAGTCAAATAAGTGGTTTACATCAATTTTTTATGTAAGTTTTACATTGAAAACAAACAGCTGAAAAAGTGGATCGGGTGTGGAGTTTTACACTGGTCCGTTTTTATACTGGAAACAAATGCGTATAAATGCGAACCGACAATGGAATTTTACACTGAAATCAAAACCAGCCTAACGAATTTTACAAATTTTGTTAAAAACTTTTTCTCATTTTTTTATTTTTTATTATTTTCTAAGCAAATAATATGGTGCACTGTGAAGTAAAAAAGATGAACTGGTGATAAAGTGAATGTTATAGTTGACATTGTAATTGATAAGTACATCTTGCAAATATAAATCAATAAAAAAATAGATTTTAGACATGATTAATTGATATTGAAACTTATTGCATTACAAGTATACATTCTTCCACTAATATGACTCTCTTTTCTATCAAACCAAAAATATTCGTAGGATCCTTGAATTGAGAAAAGGTATTTGACGACCACTTTAATTACTTGCCAATCAAATTTTAGTTAGACTGCATTAGATGTACGGGTGTTAATGGATTGGTTTTGGGTTGGATTCATTCAAATCAAAATAAATTTGGATGCATTTTATGGAGATCAATAAGACATATTTATTGATGATTCAAAGTATTTATTGGATTAGATTGGACATGGTCTATATATAATGGATTTATATTGTATCGGGTCAGATTGAACCAATATCTGGTCCATAGAAGATAAGAATACGAGTGTCAATGGAACAGGTTTGGGT